GCTTTCACAGGGAGTTTAACGCGCCGTGGCTGCGCACTGAGCAGCCTTCCAGGGGCCCGCCGCGGCCTCCCTCCCTCCCCCTGACAAACAGCTTTGTGCGTTTAGGGTTGTTTGGTTGGGTCGTTGGGTTTTTTTTTTAAATAAAGTCTAACACATTTAATCACCTTTCATAAGCTGTCAGCTTGCCGCACGCAAAGGTAAAGCGCTGCGCTCTGCCCCGTCTGCGAGCGGAGCTACCCGGTCGGACAAAATCCTGGCCATGCGAGAGCTTGGATCCTTCAAAGTCTGGAGGGATACCAAAACATCGGTTTTTAAGAGTCACGGCTTTCTGAGTTAAGTTAAAACAGATCTTCTGTTGCGCGGAATCCTTGGTCCTCTGTTTCATAACCTGCCTCCACGCTAGCGAGACTGGAAAACCCTCCGAACCCACCAAAAGCAAAACAAAACTACTGCAGGAAAACGTTGCCCTGTAGGACAGCCCCAGTGCCCTCACCCAGTGCGCAGCTCGGGTGTGCACCAGCGGCGAGAAGAGGTCTGGGGCAGAGCTGGGGTGGGGGCAACCAAATCGGGGCTGGAGAAGCGGGAGCCGTTCGGTTGCCGCCCTCCCCGGGTGGCAAGTGGGGCAGGACGGGTCCATCTGACACCACTGGAGGAGCGCAGGGGGTGGCAAAGGCCTTTCCCCAGAGGAGAGGAGCAGAGCGGCCGCCTCCATGCGGGTTTTGGGGTGATGGAGATGGAGAGGAGCTAGCCCGGGGAGTCCTTCTCTCCTGCCTTTCTCCAGGACAGATGATGTTGGGGGATCTTCTTGCTGAAGCTGTGTCTCCCGATGGTTGGTCTGTGGGCTGGGCATCCCGAACAAGGAATTTCCTTCCTTGTTGTAGTTTTGGAGACTCTTCTTCTCCTCATCCTCTCCCTGTGCTGAGCTGGGTCCTGGAGGGGCAGCCTGAAGCCACCGTCATCCCTTGAAATACTCACAGGCCGTTAACCTGCCTTGCCCGTGCTTTGTGGACCTTTTCTTTCTGTGGGCCTGCTGATGCCCGCCGGGCTATTTCTGTTGGGAAAGGGAAAGTTTGTGTGTCCCCGGCCAAAATAAACGAAGGGCGGGGGGGGCTGAAGGGGACCTGAAGGGATCCCTAGGTTCCTCGGGAAGGATGCCCAAGCTCCGCCTGGTCCTTCCACGGGAAGACCTTCCCGAGGAACCAGGGGCGTCTCACGAGTTTAACGCTGGAGGTTCGTAATAATCGCACCAGGCAGCACATCATTGCCCCCGTATCTGGTTGAGAGATTTACAACTGAAACTCGTGGCGGAGGAAGAAATTGCCTCAATCACTTGGAGTAATGGCACATGGAGAGGCACTTGGGCGTGACTGCTATTTAACACGAGAGCCCAGCTTGGCTTCATTTAACGTGCCGGTTCCTTTCTAATAAACACGTTACACTACAAGGTGGGGATTAAGATCAGAAAAGTAAATAAATTGGAAACTGATGGGGAGAGATGGGAGGGAAATGGAAGGTACTGGGGGGGGGGAGCGACGGGTGATTAACTCCCATGCTGGGGCGTGGGGAAACGACCCTGAGGGCGGCGGCGGTGGCTTCCCGAGCTTGGTTTCGGCACCTCCGTGGGCCCCGCAGGGGCTGGGCAGCCCTGTCGCTGCCCCCCCGCCCCGCAGGGGGCCAGGGATGCTCCTGCCCGCTGCCCCAACCGGGGACGTGGTTTTTCTTCCCTTCCCGGGGGCACTCAGGCAAGGCGCTACTTTTGCTTCTCCTCGTTGGCGTGCGGGTGCGTCCTCATCGGTCCTTTCCGCTCCGGATCGAGGTACCCGACGCAAGCCAGGTCACGGGCGCCCTGGCCGAGGCTCTGCAGGGAGGAGACGGCGCTTCTTTAGTACATCCCCTGCACAGCACGTGGCGGGCATCGCTGGGGGAAAGGGAGTGGATGCTCAAGGCCATGGATGAGAGATTTTGGCCTTTTCCCGTTTCATGCGTGTTGCGATCAGTCTGCCTCCGTGCCAGCAAGGGATCTCCCAGGTGTGTGGGGCCGTAAGTTTGGGAGGAAAGAGGGCTCGCGCAGAGCCAGCGAGGACTGGCCGGAGGGGTCGGGAGAAAGACCTCCCGGGTGCCCTGAGCAGCTCTGGGGTTTCCAGAGCTTCCTTTGGGGCGTCCCGCTGGGAGGCAGGGGTGGGCGAGGGGAGAAACCCCCCAGCGAGGGGGGGTCCCTTCGTTTTCGGCTGCCACAACGTGGCTCGTGGAAAGGTGCTCCAGCCGGAGTCGTCGAACAAGCTCTTCCATCTTGCGCCGCCTCTAAAAGCAAACCAGCCTTCGCATCCGAGCCCTCCGCCGTCCAGGGAGGTCTGCAGAGACAGCAGCGCCGTAGCCCCACCGCGGCGGCACGCTGCCAATCCCGCAGGGATTGGGGCACGCCGGGCCCCCCTGCTCGGGGTGGACAGGGCGGCCGGGAGCCTTCGGGAAGGGTGGCTGCGGGGAGTCAGCCTCTTAGGCAACCGGGTAGCTTTTACTGTACGTATTGGAGGAGCAACAAAAAGCGCAACGCACCGGTTGACGGGGAGGACTGGGGGGTTAATTTTCAGGATGCTGCCTGGGAATTTAGCCGTGGGATTTCCATTATTGCTAATGGGACTCACGCAGCTTAATTTCATGCGAGTTACACTAAAAACATACCCCTAACCGTCTGCAAAATTTCAGTCCTGAAATCAAGCCTTTTAAAAGTTGGAGGAGGGTAAACAAACACCTGAAACTGCACTGTCTCGCTGTTTCCCCCCGTTCAGCCGTTCGGATGTAAAAGTCGGGGAGGGGGGAGGAACCAGAGCAGTTTTAGGCAATTAAAAAGCCCATACTGCAGGCACGCTGGCTGCCTGCGCGCCGCGTTTTCGCTGCCAATTACAACGGCAGAGTTACGACCCCCGAAAAAATAGGGGTAGCTGATGCTTTACCCTTAAGTATACTACCGCGAGCGCTGCGTTATCATACGCATCTAATAACCCGAGCAGCGCCGCCTTTCATTGTGAGGCCTCCGTTATTAGGCTGTTCTCGTTAAATGACTGCTATCATCTGGTCCCAAAGTACATTAAATCCCATTATAATTATAAACACACTTCCCCATAACGTTCTCCTTAGATTACATTTGCGCTGCTTTACCCCAAGGGTATCTTTGTACTAATACCGTCCGTATTTGTTGTTTTAGCTGACGAGGCCGGGCCCCGCGCGGGCTGCGGAGTAGTGCCGGGGAGGGAGAGGGCTGCGGTGCCGCTACCGCTGCCGTCCCCTGACGGTGACGCGGGTCTTCACC